TCAGAAACACCAGGGAGCCTCTAGCACCAGGCTTGTAGGAGTGAATTGTCTTGTGCAAATGCCTAGCAGAGCCTAGCCCTTGAAAAAGGGCCTGGTCTCCTCCCTCTTCTCCCTAGCTTGCCCTGCTTTGGTTTTTTGGGAAAGTTTTGGAATAGTGGGGGTTAACTGGTTTTTTTGACTGGAAGCTGAGCAATCAGAGATAACAGATTTTGCTGTGGTTGGTTGATTTGGCAGAAAAGCATGAACAGTTTTGGTTTAAATGATTGAATAACCTGATTAGCATTGTTTTGGGGTGGTTTTTTTTGAGGGGGGTTGTTAAAGGCACAACAAAGCAATTTCCAGGGTAATCAGATCACCACCCCTCTGTGGTAGACAGTCCTGTTCTTGAGAAGGGTACACGTCTCCACACCAATCCCGCTGGCCACTGGGATGAGCAGGCTGAACAATCGAGCCACCTCCCTTCACTTCTGAGTGCATACACACTAACCCACAGAGTGTGAATCCCTAGCAGGGCCTTGAGAGGTAACATTTGGGAAAATTATGTAACCTCAACCAGTTCCTTGTGGTTTTCTGTTTTTCACATTGAGAGACCTGCAGATTTTCGAGCAAAGGTTCAGAATGTTCCAACAATATGTAAGTCAGGCTTTAGAAAATTTCCACCCTTACCTTTTCACAATTAGAAAGGTTATAAATAATGTATTTGGCTGAAAAGGAGGCTCAGCCTGTGGCAGATGGTATCCTTCTAGAGGGTTGGGGTTTCTGGGAAGATGGCATCCTTACAGATCGGAACTTTAGCAGACTCGGAAAGAGCCAAGCTCCTCATAGGGAGTAGACATGTGCTTCATGGATCTTAGAAAAGCTTACAACTTGGCTCCTAGGATGCGAATATTGTGTCACACAGGGGTTAGGAGACCCATGGCCAATTTCTGCCAACTTTTAAATTCTATCTTCCAACACTGGGATCCTCGGCCTGTGTTTTGGTTGGTGTGCCCTGTGGCAGCATTTGAACTCAGAATTTCTACCATCAGAGATTTAGTCAGTTGGATTAATTGACTCCCAGAATGTTGATGTTTTTACCCTATTGGCTACCGACGGACTAGAAAACTTGCCGCCGAAACTGTGTCTTTCAAGGCACTTATACAAAATAGACACCAGGGGAACAGAGCAGCGACCACCAGCAGCCTCTTTGGAGACATCTGTGGGGTTGATTTGGAAAACCTGGAGAGGGATTGCTTGCAAATGACTGAACAGAGGCTTTTGTGGCTAACAAGTTGGGATTTAAAGGTTCACTTGACAGTAATGCAGTTGCCTTTAACCTTGAAGGACGAGGGGAGGAGGATGTCCCAGTGACCCAAAGGGTGGCTTCTTTCAGTGGCCTGGTATCACCAGGTGTGTTCAGCCTTACGCTGAGCGTCCAGACCGTCTGGAGATGCCCAGTGTGGGACCTGCATTTGGCTCAGCCTGTTTTAATTCGGGAAGGTGGGAAGGCCGGGCAGAATCAGCCGTAGAGCCTGAAGGTGAGCAGCTCCCCGGCTGACATGGGAGAGCCATGGTACTGTATCCAGGTGTGAGGCGCACCCCAGCTTCACTGAGCTGAGGTGTAGAAACAAATGGGAAGGTGTTCCCTCGCTGTTTGCCCTTGCTCTCCCTTGCCTGCATTTAATCGGTGCGCCCTAAGAAAACTCGATGTAGAGACAGGGGGATGTCTCCGATGGGTGGTGATGCGCTTGTTGCACACGCACAGAGACTTGAGACGAGTCTGCAGCACGTACACAAAGAGCCTCGAGTAGCGGCTTGCAATTCCAGTACTGAAGAGGTGGAACAGGGGGTTCCCTGTGGCCAACTGGCCGGCTAGTCAGCTGAATCCACGAGCTCTACATCTAGTGAGAGACTGTCTCTGGAAGTATAGTGGAGAGTGACTAGGAAAGACATCTGAAGTTAACCTCTGGTTTCCACACACCCACATATACACAAAAAGACTCATTTTGAAAGTTCTATCTGTTACTCCTCTGTTATTTAAGCATCCTAGGTGTGTGTGTGTGTGTGTGTGTGTGTGTGTGTGTGTGTGTGTAGGTCACAGGAAAGTGTATGTGAGTCAGCTGTCTACTATGAGTCCTGAGGATTGAAGCTATACAATCAGGCTTAACCAGCCCCTTTGCTGCTCGACCCTCTTGGTGGACCATTGAAGGCATGTTTTTTTTTTTAGTCTTTTTTTTTTTTAATTTTTAAATTTAAATTAGAAACGAGGTTGCTTCACATGTCAGTCCCAGCTCCCTCTCCCTCCCCTCCTCCCATGCCCTCCTACCAGCCCCCACTCCTTTCCTCAGGGAGGGTGAGGCCCTCCATGGGGGTGTTCATAGTCTGTCATTTCATCCAGGGCAGGGCCTAGGCCCTCCCCCAAGAGTCCAGGCTGAGAGAGCATCCCTCATTCTGGGATGGGCTCCCAAAGTCCATTTGTATGCCAGGGATAAATGCTGATCTACTACCCAAGGCCCCAAAGATTGCCTAGACCTCCTCACTGACACCCACATTCAGCTCCCCCTTGTTCAGGTCAGCTGTTTCTGTGGGTTAAACCAGCCCAGTCTTGACCCCTTTGCTCATCACTCCTCCCTCTGTCACTGGATTCCAGGAGTTCAGCTCAGTGTTTAGCCGTGGGAGTCTGCCTCTTTTGCCATCTTTTGACAGCTCTGCGTTATCCTATAATAGAAGCCCAATGAGGGAGTAAGAAGCGAGGGAGGAGCAGAGGGCCCTCTTACAAACGGTAAAATCACTTAGGACGTAGCCTACCGGCTGGGGTTACAAGGAGCAGTGGAGCTCTGAAGATGGGGCACATACGGATGTTATTTTCTGGATATGGGAAATTAATGAACTGCATAGCGCTTTTACGTATGAGCTTTAATTTTGCTGAAGTACTTCAGAATGTTTTCCACTCATGTTTCCTGCCACCATTGGTGCAGAGTCACAGTCTATTGGAATGATCCAGTACATCACCTGCTTCCTAACAGGCGACAAACTTTTGGGGCGTTCTGCGTCTTACCCGTCTACATGTCCTCCATACCAGCCAGAGCATCAACAAGCATATGTCGTGTAGAACTCAGGAGACGAAGTAGAGCAGGCACTTAGTGAAAACCTCTGCAGAATTTAGGAAGCCTGTGCTTTCCCGAAAGGATGGCCCTCCATGCTGTGCTGTAGTAACAGGAAGGTGTCAGACTGTCTAGGTAAAGAGTAACAGTGTTTTTAGAAACTGGGTCAGAGTGAAAGAACATCAGCTGTCATCCGTCTGCAGAGTCACCGTCATCCAGCAGTGATCACGATAGTTTTATTTAGAGTCCCACATTATCGATCCGTTGCTACAGCAGACCAAGTGAGACGGGAGCCAGAGGCTTGCTCACCGTGTCAGGTAGTCATCCTCTCTCTCTGGTTTTGGCACCTTGCTAAGTGTCTTTTTGCACTGTGGACTGGGGGAGGCTCTTAGTGAAATTGCAAGCTATTGGATTAATGGCAGGGCTTCACGAGCACATTAAGAATGCCTTTTCAGAGAAATAAAATGTAAAAGTGACAATGAAGTACAGTGTGGGGGAAGCTATCACGGTGCCTCATTGGAGAGATGGCTGTGTTTTACATAAATAATGCAACTCCAGTGTGTGCCTCACTCCCAGTTCTTCAGAAGACCCCCCCAAACTTACACATTACAGGAATGTGTGTGCTACTAAATTAACATGGTGACGGATGTCAGAGTTAATAATAGCCCAAAGAGCGTTACATTTGAAGTAGCTTAAAGAAGATAATGATATAAAAATATTCTTGTCCCCAAACTGGCTTTTCAGGTTGTTCGTTGCCTCCCAACAATGGAGTTCTCTGTAAGCTGTTTCTCTGTAGACCAAGCAGGTCTGAAATGGAAGCTCTTAAGTTTCTCTGTCAGGACCAGGAGCCGTGGTGCTTCAGCCTCCCTAAGACTCAACAGGGAGTTAATTTAGCTATTAGAGACTATAGGTGAACCAGGAGTTAAGTCACAGGATTACTGTAACCAAAATTATCTGGAAAAATAGGCTTTTGTTTACTGAAAATGTGGTTTTTTTTTAAATTTTAAACCTTAGTGATACATTAACATCTTTGTCTCCCATTTTTCCTTGTTGTATGGTTGGATATTTTCAATTCTGTTTTGTTTGTTTGAGTCAGGGTCTCACTATGTAGTCTGGGCTGGACTGGAATTTATGAGTTTCGGTTGCTCTAGTACTCGTAGAGATCCGCCTGTCTCTGCCTCCCAAGTGCTGGGATTAAAGGCAAACACCACAGTGCCTAGCTCTTCAAGGCTTTTCTTTTTTCCCCAGGAGAAAAATGATTAATACACATTTTTTTCTTTGTGGATGGGACTCTTAAGATGTTAATTAGCACAAATTGTATATATTTTCTGGTCATTTGAAATTCACAACTCAAGCTTTACTAGATAGAGCCAGCCATCAAGTCTGAAGATGCTAGGCTCCTGAGACAGTTTGCCTCTCAAGTGTGACCTTTGAACACTGTAAGCTCACCAGCGGCTGAAGTCCATACAGTGAACATGAACATACAAAAACCATTCCTCCTACCTGGTCATGTCTGACCATGCTGAGGGGTGTTTGTGAGATCCAGGTGTTGATTGGGTGATCCGAGCAAGGGCTTCCCAGCATTGTCCATGGCTCTGGTGCCTGGACGATGCTTCAGGTAGCAAACCTCTCGAGTTCAGTTACCATGCTGCAAAATACCCTAACGTCGCTTGTGAGTTTGGATTGACTGGGGTGGGTGCACATTTGTGCGGATGGAGATTGGGTGAAGAGTGCTAGCCAGACACTGGTGTGGGGGCTGCTTGCGGCTTAAGTAAGCTTCTGATGACCCACGCGGTGAATTCTAAGAAGCCGAAGCTTTGGCCCCAGATGATTTGGAGAAACTGAGAGCAGGTACAGCTCTGCACAGCTAAAGTTGTGGTATGTGAACATTATACATGTTCCTCCCTCTCCACACAGAGTATGATCTCCTCCATTGTGAACAGCACGTACTATGCAAATGTCTCAGCAGCAAAATGTCAAGAATTTGGAAGGTGGTACAAACATTTCAAGAAGACAAAGGATATGATGGGTAAGCAAAAAAAAAAAAAAAAAAAAAAAGAAAGAAAGAAAGAAAAAAGCCCACCCCCTTGCCGTGGCAACATACCATTGCATGTCATTTGGGGGTTTATCAAAGTCACATCGAAAGCCAGATCTTTTGATTGCCCAATTAGAGATCAATTTAGAATGTTTCTTTGGGGGTGGGGGAGTGGGTATGAGTATAATGAGATAATTAAATTCAATAAATGTTTGTGTTTAAATCAGCCACACTGACTTGGTTGTCAGACATGCAGGAAATCGGGGCGTGAGGAGGGGAGCTGTCATTTTGTAACATCTCAGTGAAGACCTAACCAGGCCTTGAATAACTAATATCAGCTGTGATTTCTCACAGAGATAATCATGCTTTAAGGATTTTTGCTTTTGTTTGCAAAAAAAGAGAAAGGACCTGTTTTCACGCCAGCTTTTGAACAATATTTAACTGCATTCAGCTTACTAAACACTGTTCTGTTTTTACCATTGAGATAGAGTGGTTTTTATGGCTCCAGACCCCATGGGTAGGCACTTTAGTGAGCTCACTCCTTTCCTCTCTGGAACAGAACCAACACTGTCATTTCTGAGCTTTCGGTTCCAGCCTAGCGCCCTCTCTGAACAGGCTGCGCTAGGTCAACATTTGTTCCATAAGACATGCGTCAAGATGAGCTGAGGTGTAAAACGACAGGTCACGGTTGCATGCCGTGGCTGAGCGTTTGGAGTCTGGCATTTTCTCTCTGCGAGTCAGTCAGTGCTCCTGGGAGCAAGCACTATGGTTAAGGTTAACATGCCTTCTTCTTCCACAAAGTGTACCTTCCAAATAATACATCCTAAAATTAAACAGAAATGGGGTGTTTCTTACGCAAAGCAATATGCCCTATCATAAATCTTTATTGTCATTCCATTCATTTAATAGTAACAACAATAATAACTTTTCCTGAAGACTTTAGAGATGAGACCCAAGTTTGGAGCATGTTTTAGCTTTTAATATTTGAAGAAAGGCCATCCATCTACCAAAACAGATTCTTTGCCTTTTATAGCTTGGGGCTGTAATGAAGACAATGTATCAAGTTTCATAATAATTGCTTGAATTACTGTTCCATGTGAATGGCCATTTGGGCTGATATCACTGGTAGAAACTGAAGGTTTCTTCCCGTTCTTAGTTATACTCTGCATGTATCATGGAGTATAGCAGTGTGACCAGTTCTTCTGGTTATAAAATCTGCACATTTAATGAAAAGAGAAATGAAATCCAAATCAATGAGAAGTGTGGACGTTTGAGAAGGCTTACCTGTTTATATTACACTCTGGTTTTAGCCTCCTCCATCTAGTCTCTTATGTGTAACAGCACAGCATTCGGCACACTTAGAGCTGACTCCCAGCCAGTCCACACCAGTGCTCTAGCCCAGGGAGAGGCATTCATTCAGGGCAGGTAGAAATGAATTACAGAAACGTGACAACATCACCATTGTACTAGGGCAGCTCTCCGCCCCGTCCTTAGCATCTGGTGAGAACCACACTTCTATTAATAGCATTCCGGCCTTAGCCACACTGGGTGTGCTGGCTGACTCCACTCTACGTCTTTGCTTTATCTTGAGGAGTATTTGCTGATATCCTTGTGTCCATGATTGGACTTAATGAAAAAACCACACGTGATGCCAAGAGTGGCAGCCAGCTGCTGTGCCCACCTTATTATATGCTTATTTTGTAGACTGCTTCCTCCCTTTGCCTGGATTGCTAGAATTAATATAATATGGACATATTTCCAATTTTTTCTCTAGTTGCTTTCTAATCCAAGTTTATCTGTTTTTAGTTTAGCTCATGGTTTCTTGCTGCTGATAAGCCAACAATATTCTTGGAGGCATCTTAAAGGAGGCAGCCATTGCTTGTAAAGCCTTCTTGTGCTTCTGAGAATCAGTGATAGGTTGACCTCAAAGCAAACATAAAAATGTGAATGTAGTAGATGTTATGCCTTGAATCAGTGGTTCTCAACCTTCCTAATGCTATGACCCTAAATTTAATATAGTTCCTTATATTGTTATGACCCCCAATCATGAAATTATTTTTTGTTGCTACTTCGTAATGGCAGTTTTGCTACTGTTACAAATTATAAGTAATTTTGGAAATAGAGGTTTGCCAAAGAGGTCTTGACCCACAAGCAGTTGATAACTACTGCTGTCAATTTAAGCTACATTTCAGGGGTGTTGTCTGCTCTCAGTGTGTGCAATTGTTTGTAGAAGAAAACATAGCCATGGCCCAGGAAGTTGTGTCCTTAGTTAGCTTGGCACCATTACTCCTCAGTGCTCTCTCTCTCTCTCTCTCTCTCTCTCTCTCTCTCTCTCTCTCTCTCTCTCTCTCTCTCTCTCTCTCTCTCTCTCTTTCTCTCTCTCTCTCTGTCTCTCTCCTCTCCTCTTCTCTCTGTCTGTCTCTCTCCTCTCCTCTCTGTCTCTGTGTCTCTGTCTGTCTATCTGTCTGTCTGTCTCTCTGCCTGGAATTAACTCTGTAGACCAGGCTGACCTTGAACTCACAGGGATCCGCCTGCCTCTGCCTCCCCAGTGCTGGGATGAAAGGCGTGGGCCACCACTACCCAGCCTTTCTTTATATTTCTTGTATTAGGAAATGATCAGAAATTTTCTTATTGCCGTCTGAACTTGATTTTTCCTTTTGTCTACTTTAGTTGAAATGGATAGTCTGTCTGAACTGTCTCAACAAGGCACCAACCACGTCAATTTTGGCCAGCAGCCGGTCCCAGGGAACACAGCTGAGCAGCCCCCATCGCCCGCGCAGCTCTCCCATGGCGGCCAGCCCTCTGTCCGGACCCCTCTTCCGAACCTGCACCCTGGGCTGGTGTCAACACCTATCAGTCCTCAGCTCGTCAACCAGCAGCTGGTGATGGCCCAGTTGTTGAACCAGCAGTATGCGGTGAACAGACTCTTAGCCCAGCAGTCCTTAAACCAGCAGTACTTGAACCACCCTCCCCCTGTCAGTAGGTCTATGAATAAGCCTTTGGAGCAGCAGGTTTCCACGAACACGGAGGTCTCTTCAGAAATCTACCAGTGGGTGCGGGATGAACTGAAGCGAGCGGGAATCTCCCAGGCGGTGTTTGCACGCGTGGCTTTCAACAGAACTCAGGTCAGTTTTGTTCTGTTGGGCTGTCCCCTCCTTGTCTCTTTGCTGAGCCCCGTCTGTGCTCATGTTTCCCCTTACTCTGTGTCAACCTCTGTTAACACGGAGTCACGCGCCTGTTGCTGCGGTCCCTGTTCCGTGCCCCTCTTCCAAGGGCGCATCCTGGCGCCGTCTGTATTCCCCTCACGGGATAGTGAGCTCTTAGTAACAGAAGGTGAGGAAGCGGCTAGCCCAGTGTTCTCTCTCTGTCTGCTCTTATGGACTTAAGTACATTAATGTGCTTCGTTGAAGTTCTCCAGCTGTTTTGATACTGTGCAGCTTAACAGTCATTGCATTTCATTCTCTGCAGCCATTGTTAGCCTTCCTCCCTGACTTTTTCATGCTCTCCACACCTCACTCCTACTTTCTGCCGTTATTGTAATAGAGGTAGATGCATTGTAAAAAGTGAGGTTTATTTTCTCTTTTTATTTTTTATTTTGTTGAGACAGTGTTTCTCTGTGTAGCCCTGGCTGTCCTATAGGCTGACCTCGAACTCACAGAGATCCACCTGCCTCTGCCTCCCCAGTGCTGGGATTAAAGGCGTGCGCCACCACAGCCACCACAGCTACCGCCTCCCAGCCAGAGTGTGGTTTCTTGTGGCACTTTGTGCACAATGTGTGGCCTGGCCATACTTCTAAGAGCCTCTCCTTCTGGTGTCCCTTTGCCCTTTGTCCAGAGTTCCAGGGTTATTTTGACAGACTTCACCTCACACCAGAGAGTTTCTTGTTTTTTTTTGTTTTGTTTTGTTTTCTTTTATGGGTTCAGACAGTAAATATTTGAGCATCATAAACTCTCTGATCACACTGCACTGCAATGGACAGTGCAGAATGGGTGTGGCTTGGTGGTAACTCACTCACTTCTGTCTGTAACAGGCCTCGTGCTGGGTTGGGTGCAGGCATTGAGTTTAGACTTCCTCCTGGGCAAATCCCTGTGAGACACAGTCTTCTCCACAAGAATAGTATCCTTAGTGTTTATAAAGGTTTATTTGTTTAGATGCTAATATAATGCACGTACTTCTTATTTTTAGCCAAGGCACACTAAAATAAAAGGAACATTTAACTTTGAGGTCATGTCTTTCCAGTTTTCTTGTTTTTACTATGTTCATTTTTTTTTCTTTTTCTTCTCTTTGTCTCTCTCTCTCTCTCTCTCTCTCTCTCTCTCTCTCTCTCTCTCTCTCTCTCTCTCTCTCTCTCTCTCTCTCTCTCTCCCTCCTTCCCTCCCTCCCTCCCTCCCTGACTCATTTTCCTTTCATCTTCGTTTTGTTCTTTCCATCTTTATTTGGTTTATTGTGTGATTGAGAGAATAAAATTCTGATACAGATATAATTTAGTATTAATTCCTTGTTGGCAGTCTCTGATCCTGGGAGAATGCCAGCCGTGCCTAGTGTTTGACTGGCTCTGGCCAGACCGAGGGTCAGAAGACATGGGGGGGTCTTACAGGGCTCCTTCGCGGTTTCCACAGCTGCTTTTCTATTCATTATTGTTTTGTTTTTAAAAGGGTGATTTTGCACTGTGTTGCCATAGGTTAAAACTGTATGTATATATATATATATATATATATATATATATATCAAAGATCCTTGTTTTTACAGCTTTAAAATTGTGTTCATTCTTGGCTGGTAAATTTAATATGACCCTTTAACTCAGTTGGGGGCAATAATTTTTAAAAAATCAGTGAACCAAAAGCCACCCTCTAGAAATTCTGATTTGTGGTAGCATTCTTTATTTTGTAAATACAGTAATTACTAGTAATGCTCAGTCCTGGGCCAAAAACTGGGACTCTACATAAAAGTCGGTAATGTTTGTTGAATTCAATTAAAGGCCTTTAGACAAAGACAGCACTGACACAGACGCAGATTATAGATTTACTGATAAGCCCTTGAAAAATTGAGCAAATAGTTGTATACTAAAACACAAAGGATATATGTGTGTGTGTGTGTGCGTGCGTGCGTGCGTGCGTGTGTGTGTGTGTGTGTGTGTGTGTGTGTGTAGAATGGGGGGGCTCAGCACACTTCCTCATCATGGCTATGAAATGCTGTCTGTCTGTCCTTGATCCTTACACACAACATTTGTGGTTATCTGTAGGATTTATTGCAGTAATTGGTGAATTTTCTCTGGTTCTATGAATTAGGTCTTTAAAAAAGGCTGTTCTCTGTGGTTCATATGAGGATTAGTGAGCTCATTTTTCTGAGCATTGACAACAGATACCACCTTTTTTTGTCTCTAAATGGACAATTTAGAGAAAGAAAAGTCACTGTCCAGAATTATTTGGCAATAAATAGGCTTAACTTTAAACCTTTATGTATTAGTAATTGGTATTTCTCAGTGGAAGATATTGGGTCTTGTTTGGAACTGTCTTTTATTTATTTATTTTTTAAATATGAGTTGTTTCATGTGGGTATTTAGATGTTCATTGAGAGCCAGCTTTTGCACACGCAAGCATGTATGTATTTTTCAGTGGTCATACTTACAAATCACATACACGCGCCCACACACAGCTGCATTTAGTTCAGTGATTATACATTCATATGAATGCATGTAGTGTGTTTATTTCAGAGTGTATGCATTTCAATAAAAGCAGGTGCAGAGTGAGAGTAGGGTGTGAGTGTGGACGAAAATACACACGCTGATGCATATGTAGCGGCGAGAGCGTTGCAGTCACATCGCAGAGCTCAAGTCGTGTGCTGTTATTTCAGCGAGCAGCTCCAACCTGGGTCCAAACGTTGCTGTAAAATGTGGGCATAAAAAGGCAACATTCTCATGTGGGTAGAGAAAGGCACTGCAGCCTGTACAGACTGTGGTGCAACATTGGTGGCATGATTGGAACCGAGGATTTTTTTAATCATTGACAGCTCTGAGTAGCGTTCAAACCCTGGACTTCCTGCCTTAACTCATGAGAACCCCTCATTATCTCAAAAGGGCTTCCCAAGTTAGACCACATTCCTCTCAAGATCATCACATGGAACATTAAAAAGTACCATTTCTGAAAATTCATGGTGAGATCTATATAATTACTTTCGTAAGGGATTTTCCCTTCCTGAGTGATGGCATGTGTTATTTAATTGCTGCTGAAGATAGTAGCTGTTAGCCTATGCCATTCATTCAGTTACATCTGCTCGATGTCTTTTTAATAGAAACCTATGGTCAGAGCTTTTCAGTCATCTCTCTGGAATGCTGTCCTTTAAAGGTTGTGATACAAGAAAATGTATTTCTTTAAAAACCTACATAAACCCAGAGTTTACCCTGATCCTGCTCAGTGGCTTTTCTCGCTCTTTCTCCTCCCTCCTGTCTTTGGCACACTTTATTTTCCAGTAAAATAAAGAATGAAGATGGATTATTCAAAACTGATAACAGTAATGGACCAGCATATAATGTTTTATTGAATTTGAGCTCTGTGAATTATGTGGTGGAGAGAAATTCTCCTGCTTAAGTATAACAGAAATCGCTACTGTGTTCCTATAATTCCACAGTGTAATTTAAGAAAAGTCCATTGTCCAATCACTATTGACTAAAAGGTAAAAAAGGTACCATAATCTGATGTGACAGCTCTTGATGAACCTACCAAGGGAGAGAGATGAACGTGTCTACTTATAACTTGCTTGGCATGATTCCACAAGCAGGTGGAGTTTGGAAGTAGTCTTTCACCTGGTCATGTGATCAAGAGCTCACCAAACAGATGGAAAATATTCTTTCTCTTCAGGAGAGAGATTTCCTCAAATCACTTTTTTTTTCTTTCTGAGGGCTTTGAAGTTCCACGGAGCTGATAAAATCTGTTTTAATCAGGGACTGTGTTCAAAGAGGACACAAGCTGGAGGCCAGGCTGGCTCAGTGTTTGGATTGGCCGTAGTCTCTTGCACTTATCTGCCATTTTAAAGAACTCATAATGAGCTTTTGGAAGTCTTGATAATATTTATTGGAGGCTTTTTCCTTCTTTTACAATTATTAATGAATTTTACTTGTCGTAAGTTGTATAACTCTTGTTACAATGTGAAAAGGAGAGGTTTAGAAATTTGTCAGTAGATTAATTCCTTAATTGAAAAGAAATCAGAGCTTTCACTTAACCACTAAGTAATGACAATGCAGTATAATTTGACCTTTTCATGTATACTACACACATCTAATTATTTGTAAGATGTGAAGTTCCAAAGAGGGCAGCTTCTTATTTTCAGTGAAATTAATATTCATGGCATGTTGGGAACTCCCTTCACAACATACACATTTTTGGATTCTTTTTAGAAATAAGATTACTAATGGTTTTACCTAATTTAGTTCATTGCATTTAGTGAGCACCTATGGTACCTCAGCCGATTCTGTGATGAGACAGGGAGCATGGCTTTCACACACTATTTCTTTAGTGTGATGGATTGTTGGTAATGATATCTGTATCAGTCGGTCATGAGGAATTAATACAAGTGACCTTGACCTTACCTGGCATGTCTGTACTAGATTTGACCTATATAAAATAGGGAAAGGAAGTATATACATACTGAATTCGTTAGCCATTCAACAGCCTGAACAGGACCAAGGCATGCACTCCAGCATCTGAGTTCTAACAGTAGTCATTTGCATCCAGGTTATCCTACATTACTCTTTTAAGTAATTTTTAAAATTAACACTCATCATATGGTTTCTGACAATATTTTCAGGCATTTCCACCAGGGGGCACTCCCCTCATTGAAAGCTCTGGGCCAACAAAAAAAAAAAAAAAAAAAAAAAGAAAGAAAAGAAAAGAAAGGAAGGAAGAAAGAAAGTTCTGAACTAATAGACTGTCTACACTGGCTACTCTGAAGCTCTCTGAAAGTCTGGGGTTTGGAGCATTGTTGGGGAATTGGCATAGTCCAGGCAGGAAACCTGCACCCACTCCAAGGAGTGATTAAGTTTGGGGGAAAGGGTTCCACAGAGACAACACTCGTGTGTACAAGTTGGAAGGTGTGCTGACTTCACCCAAGTTTTTCACCCAAGTAATGATCTGTCTTTCAGCTGAGCCACACCCTGCCTCGGTGTTCTATTGACAAGACTTGAGAGAAAGTGCTTCTGTGGGGTTTTTTTTTCCCATGGGTTTGACTTTCTTACTGTAGTTCTTTGCTGTGGAACATTTTTAAATAGAGATAGGGAATATATTACTTTGTCCTCTTGATTTTAGATATCTGTTTTCAAGTACTCTGGCGTAGGAAAAACCTAAATATTTACAGGGTATCTTTTACCCTGATTTTTTTTCTCAATTTACTGAATAGACAGTAGCCTAGATAGATGTTTTACAAAGTACCATGCAATGGTGACTTTTTAGTGATGGCTCCGAGTGGCTTGGCTGAAAGGGCCCATGGCCTTGATTATGTAGTAATGTTAGTCATAGCTTGTCATAACCACTATAATGTACTCTAATGTTCTTTTTTTTCATTTCTGTAGTCTATATCCACATAATTGTTTCAGTGACAGAAGTGTAAGGCATTCATCGGGCTAAGATGACGAAAGTAACTATACTATTATACTTGAGGGTTTCGTGGCATTTTGTATGTATTCCATGCATTCCTGTGCAGTTGCTATATATTGCTTTACTAGACACATATTTTTTATTGGTTTCCTTTATTTAATTCATTCATGTATTTGGGACAAGGTACCACTGTGTTGGCCTCAGAATCATGGTCTTACTGTTTCTGCCTTCCTGGGGATGGGATTCCAGCCATGCCACCATGCTTGCTTTCCAAGGTTTGGCTGCTGCTGTTTGTTTTTTAAGTATATACTATTTTGCAGGAGCCAGTGGCAAGACTGTGTGTGATTTGTGTATTCATTTCTATAAGACACATCAGAAATAGTCTAATTAGTTGGCCCGGTATGGGTTAAATAGCTGGATGGCTGACTGCCTGTCTGAATCTCAGTTCAGTTGACAGGGTGTTTTGTTCTCAGTAGACCCAGACCTAGGTGGAGGTGCTAGTTAGTATCATGGTCAAAAGGACAGTCTTAAGTGACATTTCTTATAAAAGCTCAGACATGTCCAAGCTTTGGTTGCAGTAGACTAGTTGAGAGATTTACTTATGATTGACTCAATTCCCCAGAGCTTGCTAGAGGTTTCTTTCCCTCTTAAAACACCAGCTTATAAATCAAGTGATTCTTTTAAGGGGGCAATGTTCTTATCCTCTCTGTACCCACATGCTATATCAGGCAACATGACTTGAGAAATTTGGACAAAAGCCAGGTTTATACTTCCAAGAAACTCTAACAGTCCCCAAATGCTAAAACTTTGGGGGGGGGTTCATTTTGCCTTCTCTCACTCAAAAGCACACATTTGACCTTTTCTGCAGGGTTTTGGTGGAGGTGGCTTGTATGGCCATCCAGAAGTCTTGATTGTGACCACCCTGAGTTAGTTGCTAATGTGTGTAAGTAACAGAAGCACGGCATCTAGGTTTCCCACACATTACTTCGTGCACGAGGTTGAAGACATGGAGTTACCTAGTCTTATCACGTGACCAGACTAGCCTTTGTGGTACTTCTACTTCATACTGTCCTCCAGATGCGTTGGGAGGACACCAACCATTTAAAAAATAAATTCTTCCAAAGGAGAAAGAAAACTTTTAAAACTACATTGTTAAGGGAGGAGAAACACCTTAAGAGAAGTTTCTAGTAGTTTTTGAGTTCCCACTGTTACTAATAGTTTTGGGATACAGTTTTACAGTGTGGAAGAGTGGTTGTGTATTTCAGGTATGATCTGTGGTTTTTGAAGTTCAGATTTTCCAACCTGTTACCTACTGGCATGGTATAGAACGTTTTGCAAAGTCTGTTTCCCTTTGAACAAACAGCAAACCCAAATGGCCAACTGTGATACGTTGTCATTTGGAAATCAAGGAATAACAAAATACTGTCTGTATAAACAAAGTCTTAGTGGTCCTGAGTGATGTGTTGCAGCTCCGTTCCTGGTATCTTCCTCAAATGCTTAGCTTGCCCTTCTGGAAGTGGCTTTGCGTCTGTTGGATGCCAGTGCCTTTGTCTGGCAGCTTGAGAACTGTACAGTCCAATGCTGTTCCCTCTGGGGATTTCACTGACTCCTAACTTCCTCTGCCATCTTTCTGTGAAAGATTTCATGTCAATTTAAGCTACTCAAAAGGAGGAGACCGGTTAGGCCGGCTCAGTGTCTGCTCCATGTAAAGCAGATACAATCCTCGAGGCTCTCTGCTCCACCACTGCTGTTGGGACTAATAGATTCCTAGAGAGACTCAGCCTCTGACTGCCCCTTTCTGAGGGGCATAGAAGGGGTGGGACACGCCCCTCACTCATCCTGGGGCGTGGAAAGTGTAGGACACGCCCCTCACTCACCCAGGCTGGTGCAAGGAGCAAGCTCACCCTGTGTCTCTCTTCCCCCTGTAGGGATTGCTTTCTGAAATCCTCCGAAAGGAAGAGGACCCCAAGACGGCATCCCAGTCTCTGCTGGTAAACCTTCGGGCTATGCAGAATTTCTTACAGTTGCCAGAAGCCGAAAGAGACCGGATATACCAGGATGAGAGGGAAAGGAGCTTGAACGCAGCCTCGGCCATGGGTCCTGCGCCGCTGCTAAGCACCCCGCCCAGTCGTCCTCCCCAGGTGCTCCCGCCTCTTCCTTGTGGTTCATTGTCCTGTCCTAAAAATCTTTAATCAATACTCTCAGCAAGAAGTTGCATAGATACAGACTTTTGAAAGTTCCATAGACTTAATTGAGAATTTCACCCCAGATTACTAGTTTTGATGGAAAACAGTTCTGTTCCTCATTAGGGAAAAGAAAACTGCCTTGTGTTGCTCCGAGTCTTTGGGTTCTTGAGGGTTGAAGAAGTGATCTAGCTACCTCTACTGTTGTCACTACAGATGCCTTTCTGCTCACCTCAGAACAGAAATAGTACCGCCTGGTTACTGTCACTAGTTTGAGGATGGCCATTTGAATAGTAAATACAAAATAAATAAATAATTTCGTTTATATTTATGCTTTCCAATACGGACTGCAGCTGGTACCAATTACATATCATCTCGTTTGTAATCTTTCATAATTAAGTTTAATACAATACTTGAAGGCAGCTTTAAGTGAGTCTGATAAAGAATTCTGTGTGGATTCCCGGAAATGGGCACGTTTTCATTTTCTTCAAAATGTTCCACTTTTTAGGAAGGAAAATTGAATATACCTTCTAGTTAACTTTATTGTGCATTACTGTTTTAAATCAAGTGTTTAAACTCATTTTCAGTACAAACCTTTGGTAACTTAGACACAAACTCCACAAGCAAACATATTTTTTCCTTGTTTAGTTTGTGGCAGGCACAACCCGTACAGCTACCAAAGTTGTTTAAAAGGTTGAGTGTGGAACACAAACTCAAGAGTGTTCGTGGGATATAATGTTATTGTCATATGTTGGTAATTCCATCAACAGTGAACAAGTCCATATATCTCCAAGCACTGAAGTGTAGAAAAAGCCTTTCAGTGACAAGAAATGGAGCTGTGACAGGAACTCTATAAATGAGGACCAGGTACACACTCCAGCTATTTGGTGGAGGTTCTTGAACTGTTGACAGAATGTTCTAAAGAAATTATTTCTAAAATCTATTTTTAATGGAAATCAATCTGTCTTAATGTCTGTAGGAGCAGGCTGTGATAAGTTAGTGCCGTTGTGTGAGGAGGGGCCACCATGTTCATACATAATCTGTCTGTCTACTCATAGCTACTGACCGATTGGTAACCTCATCTATAAAATATTTCCTAAAATACAGAACTAGGAACTCTGTGAGTATGCATATGACTTGGGTAGGTCGTTCGATAAAGAAGATTCAGTGCTCACTATATCCTTACTCTTTTGTAGAAACCATCCAGATGGTTTCTCTGCACCTGGGGACAGTAGCCTGGCTTTCCCCTTTCTTGTTCTGAGGTGTTTAAACTACTTCTTTCATAATGATGTGACTCTTAGCAAGACCATCTTCTCTTTTCTGTGTGCCCAGTTATTTAATTGTGGTCCATTTTGTAGAATTGGGGAAATTTTATTTTCTAAATATGGTTCTAATGATCATGATAATCCTTATCCTTTGTTTTCTGAGCCAAAGTTGTATTAGTTCTTAAGTGATGTTTTTTTCCATACAATCTTAAGATACTATTCAATATCTTTACCGTGTGCATATTTATAAAGACACCACCACATGCCATGCTTTATGGGATAGAAAATATATGTAATTTATCCTAAGTTCAAGGTTTCCTAGTTGAGACACCCTTCATGTGTTTGTTTGTTCTCAAAGGGGTTAAGACTAACCAAACTTGTAGTTGGGGTGGACATAGGAAGTGGGTAGACACTGTAGCTCCCTAGGGAGATGCTTCAGATTTCTCCTAGTGTGGTTTTACTGGCCGTCTCACCAAATCCAGAGGTGAGTGTCTGATACGTGTAGGTCTGTGCATCCTATCTCTTCCTCTGTCACTCCATTTTCATTACTCAGCATTATAACAGTGCCCACTGTCAACGGGTCGCATGCTACCTTAAAGCAACACATTGAATTAAAAAGGATGATCTATTTATCTCCCTGCAAAATGAGTAGAGTTGGGGAAAGCACACTGTCAGCGTCGAGACTTAGAACTGTGTTGAAGTGGCAGTTGAAGTTACAATTGACCCCCAGGAGAGGTTCATATGTCCACTACAGGTAACTAAACTGGAGAGAAAAGGCGGGGAACTGCAGGGACACCCTCAAAACGTCTTCAGTTTTGTACGTTATCAAGGAAAAGTCTCTGTGAAATCACTATGCATTCCATTTCCTGTAAAATAAAGGGATTTGGAACCTACTTTGAGAAGATCTTGGGTTTGGCCTTGAACTCTGATTCTTTCTGAAAACAAAACAGAAAATCCCATCCGAGGTGAAAGAAGACCTCCTTGGTGATTCATGGGACACACAAGACAGTTAACCCTGGGAGACTGGAATCTCCTCTGCTCCTAAAGTATGTAGCTCACATTTTGGGAAGATTTTTACAATGTTCCTGGAGTGTCCTAGACCAAGGAGTTAAATTATTTCGAGGAACTTAGATTTTAAGTCATCTTTAACATGGGACTTCCTTGGATAGTCTCCAGAAAGATGTCCTACAAATACCTTACTGGGAGATGGCCCAGCTACAGGAAACAAAGCTCACATCTGACCCAGCCTTGGCGCTATGTCCCTAGTGCAGACCTTTCTTGGGTAATCCAGTAGAGACAACCATGAAGGGCTATTGCCCTCTCTCTGAGTATGGGCCAACCCCAATTGTCACAGGTATATTTTCATAAGTTTCATGTTGTAATTAAAAAAGAAAAATACCTTGTAGTTGATAATGGTTCACAGCTTTCTAAGCACCTTCACATGCTTTAATTCATTGAATCCTAATACCAACCTTATGCTAGGAGAAAAATGAAAAAAAAAAGCTGAGTGAAAGGTTTTAACGTTTCAAATCCTAATTAAATTTGTTGCATTTTCCTTTACCTCAAGAAATCAAAATACAGTTTTAAGAAAAGGATGGAAGTGAGAGAAAATGGGAATTTGTGTTGTTAGATTGGAAGGAAGAATGTTCGAGAATATTGTGTGGATGAAAAAAATTAAATGTTTGACAAATGATCTATTTGGAATGACTTTGCACAATGGTATTTCTGGTATTTTAAAGAAAATTCACCTTCAAAACCTTCATCATAAGAAAGTATATTATGGTCTGTCTTACAGATTTGATTTCTGGCTATGTTGTGCAAAGTTGTTTAATTATTTTAATAGAGGGGTTTTATAAGTAAAAATGAATGATTATTTCATGAGGATGATTTGTCCTGCAGAAAAGATAGGCTTAAGCTAATGTCCTCTGCCACAGGCGTTATTTGGAGGTGTTACTTGTGCATTTTTATACATGTTGACTGGTGGAGCTCATTGTCAGTTTTCTGTAAGAACTGTGTGACAAGTTGTGATTTTTAGACTGTAAACTTCTTTTGCATCTCTTCCTGAGATTCTTTTAGCCTCTTTCCAAGTAAGGTGTGATGTTTCACAGAAATGTATTAGGAAGCACACCAGGCCCACATAAGGAGCATGTAATTCATCTGGTCCTGCATTGCTCTATCTTTTCACAAGGAATCCCTCATGACATGATGAAGCATAGGCTCATCTTGGCTCCAGGTCCAGTTACAGGCATGAGCTCAGCACATGGGGAGAGGGTTTCTTGTTGTGGATTCCTGGGAAAACATTAACTTTTATGTACTTGGCGATTGCTTCCCATTAATGACCGTCTTGTAAAGGGTATGACCTTTTCAGGTCTAGATTTGAAAAATAATATTGTTCCTATGAAAGAAAGACAGCTCTAGAAAGTTCAAACCATGACTGAAGGCAGTGTCGTAGAGGACTGTTGTCCATCACCCCACAAAATTATTAAGAGGAGGAATAGGCATACCTTGGAAAATCAATTTACATTAGATTTTTAATGTTAGTTATAAACCATTAGCTTCTAAAACTTAGAGCCTAATGAGCTAGGCTTAGCAAAGGGCTTCTGAGAAGCAGGCCCAACAAGTCTTAGTCTCTAGGATGTTTTCTAAATAACAAGACCCCCCCCCCCAGAAGAACATACTCCAAGTAACTCCCTGGTCTCTGAGATGAGCACAGATTTCAGCACACTGAAGTTCAGAGCTTAGCTGGGAGCAGGAGGCAACTTACTTTACCTCTCTTATAACATTTCCAGTTTTAAAATAGAGTAATGATAGCACCTACTATGGATCGCTACATAGTTCAAAGGGTTAAGATGCATTCACACATAAAACAGCCAATGAATATCAGTCTCCATCCTCATAGTTACTGAAGAAACATAAAAGTTTAATCTTGTATATGTGAGAGCCGTACAGCACATTCACCCACCCAGACCAAAGGGTATTAGGCTCATAAGCCTGAAAGTATGATGCATTTGGCAACCAGTGAAGAGGCAAACTGGAATTTTCATGTACAATGTGTGCTCTGCGGCGCAATTTTAGTGAAATGAAAAGCAGACCCCAGTGCTGCAGCCTGTGCCCCACACAGGAGGGTAAATAGAAGCTACAGAGCTTAACCACTTCCCTGGCGCCACCGTAATGATGGAGTAGTGTGCCCTACCTTGATAAAAGCTATTCCGATTGCAACTGCATTTATTTCACCTCCTGTGCTATTTGTGGAGAAGAGTGAAGAGTAGTTTGTTTTGCCTGGGATGAACTACTTTATGAATTTTAATGGATGATATAATATTAAAAGCTAAACCAGGATTAAAGATGATTTTTTTTTGTACTAAGCAAAAATAGTACTTAGTAGAGTGGAGTAGAAAAGATTTTTGTTTCCATTTTTTACCTGGGGAAAAATTCAGCTTTCATATTTTGAAAAGCTGCCCAAGTCAGTTCCCCTTAAGCAGTAGCTTGTGTTTAGGAAAAAATGTGGCTCTAGAATTCTAATGGCTTATCTGTGATAAGATGCATATCTGGGCCAGCAAGAAGAGCTTTGCTAAATACTTTTTGACTGAGTAATGCAGCCAGGTACTAACTGTATATTTTAAAAAATTTCCCCACGTTCTTTTCTCTTAATGCTTCTTTGTTCCTTCCTCCCCAGGAGGAAATGAGTGGGGTTTTTTGTTTGGTTGTTTTTTTTTTGTTTGTTTGTTTTGTTTTGTTTTTGTTTTTGTTTTGTGATTTGGGATTCTTGTTTCTTGGTTCAAGTTGTAATTGCTTTGTAGAAAACTTAAACAAAATTTTAGAAACACAAACAGAGTCACAGAAACTTGAACTCTCTGATTTACTTTTTACAAAAAGAGTGAAAATTGTAAGACCAGGTGAAACCCCAAGTTTCCTAAAAGCAGAGCTGTTCCTCTTACTACACAGATGGTTACCAGGGAACTGTTTCTTTCAGTGTGATGGACTTTGGTGCCCCCATTTCCATAACATTCAATTTTCAAAGCAATTGAAATGGCTTTTCTCTTTCATTTGAGCAGTGAGAAAAATAGGTATTAGCAGGGACCCCATGGGGTGATCAGATGTATTCCCTTGTCTCAGAGCAAGACCACCCCAGAGCAAAGTTTCAAATCTCACCAAAGCAACTTTGTAGGCAATTTATGATAACGTGTTAACTCTTCCGCTCCCAAAGTGCTGTTTAGCAGATTATGGCTTCAAAGCCCTGCCCGTTTCTTGTGGCCTCCAGTCTTAACGTACCCCTTGCTGGTATAGACCCAGAGCTGGAAAAAGAGCCCTGGAGACCTCTTGCCACTCCCACTGAGAACAGGTGATAGTGTCACCCATACCGCCGTCCTTGCCACTTCCTGAGGTGCTGCCAGCCGTTGCTCAGCCTGACACTTTCCTTCCCTGCTGGGTTGCATCTTGCTCCCAGAGATAAGTCAAGGAAAAATGACTTTGCTCCCAGGCTAGATGTTCAAAGGACTCAGAAGGTATACTTCATGGGATCTATATTTACTTTCAAGAACTTAATCTCCTTCTGGGGCAACCTCTGCTAACTTTCCTGCAAAGTGGGTTTTTTTTGGGGGGGGGGGACAGGTAGAAATTAACATGGAACACCACAGTTTGACGTCTGTTATCTGTGCAGTCACCCAATGTGCTTCATTTTTCTGTTGTTCAAAGTTTACTTAACTCTCTAGAGAAACCTTAATCTCCATAGAGGGCCCTACGAGTGAGTTCCTTATTGTTTCCCTTTGCCAAGAAGCATAATCCTGTGTCTGTACTAAGATTTCCACCAGTTTCCTAGGAAAAATTCAACTAATTGTTCATAAGAAAAATTTTCAAGACCGTTTCATACAACTGTATGAGAAAAATTAAAATTGGAATTAAAAATAATAACAGTATCATTTTAAAGTTGAGATTTGGTTTTCAAACCCCTAGTCTTTGTTGGTTGAGGACTTTATTTTTAATTGTCCCTGCTTATATCCATCATGAAAGGCTTGGTATAAATTTTTGAGTAATTATACATTTTGAATATATTTGTAGAGTCACTAATGATATATTTTAACTCACAGAAATGTTCAATTACATTCTAAGAAACATTGTCTTCTCGTATAGTTCTATAAGTCAAAAGGAAGTCATTCCATAGCAGAATGCCAGGAAAAGATGAAATAATCAGACAGAACAGCTTGGACATCACATGTGAAATGCAACCAGCCTTTACGATAATTGAGCAAGGCTTTCTACCTGTTCATGGATGGATAGAAGATTTAAATATGCAGTTCTGTTAATGGCTTTATTATGGAAGATTTTAAAATGAAACGTAAGAGGGAAAGGCATTTTTAAAAAGTCTGAAATTAAAAAGGCCATAGTCTCTAACAGCTATCAGTGAGGTAACTGTCTATTAGGCACTGGGTACCCAGCGAAGACACAGCACTGCATTATGATTTTAATTGTGAATTTCCTTTGTTAGGGCTGGAATGGGAGGTAATTGGGAGACAATTAGTTTAGTGTTTTCAAATCCTTGAAGCCCCTCTCTTTTCCAGAAAACTTACTTTATGGCATTATTCTTCCTGGTTGTCACTTGGCAGTGGTTGTCACATTATGGATGCAATCACCTGTGACAGTGTGACTTCCTTAACTTCAGCAGTCTGATCTCAGGGCAATAACTAATGTCGAATGACCGCACTGTTGACCACCTTGACCATAAAGGAGTAACGGTTCCCAGTTTGGATGCTGGACCTGAGAAGCTTTGAATCAATTTGGCTAATGAAAAATGACAGCTATGTTCAAAATGTTTTGTAGGTGAAAACAGCTACTCTTGCCACTGAGAGGAATGGGAAACCAGAGAACAATACTATGAACATTAATGCCTCCATTTATGACGAGATTCAGCAGGAAATGAAGCGTGCTAAAGTGTCCCAAGCACTGTTTGCAAAGGTTGCCGCCACAAAAAGCCAGGTCAGTACCACTGTCAGGCAGCAGAGTGTTTATCTGCAAAGCCTGTGCACAGTCGACGAAAGACATGTTTGTTCTGTGGGAGCTGGCTTCCCTGGGAGGCTGTGGCCCCCGGGTACTGTGTAGAGAACTCTGCTGAGCAGTAGTATTGAGATGTAGATTGTAGACACTGGGTTTCCTGGATCCCCAGCAGCCACTCCTAGACCAAGAATTTCTCGGGGGGGGGGGTCTTTCTGAGGCAGTTAATAGTTTCTTTCAGAAGTGGACTATCATATACAGTTTACTAGGCTAGTATTTTGTAATAGAACATGTAAATTACTGTTGTTTCATCATTCCTCAGATGACCTTCAATTTATTCTAAAAGCATCGTACAACTTCTTTTGCAACTACTTTACCTGTGGCCATTCGGTAGTTACTAAAACAAACCACATACACTGTTGCATACGAGTGATTTTAATTTTCCTGTAGTTGAACACAGACAAACTGAACTACACTATACTCAGAAAACTTGTCCGACTCTAATGACTGCATAGAGTTAAAGTGGCAGTCACAGACCTTCAAAGCAACTTTAAAAACAAAAGCCTGATCGTAGAACCTACTACAGGATCTCTTATTTAAATAAGACTCTCTTAGGTTCGTAATTATTTACTGGTAGAACAAACTCACATTGTCTCTTAGGTAGCCCTTCACCAGAGCCAGTAATACTTTTTAGAAGCTTACAATACAAAACTCGCTTCCCTTTCACAAAAGGACTTGGTAACACTGAGGTGGGACTTATAGGCACACAAGGGTTTGGGTGAGACCTGAATAACTTGGAATGTTACATAACTCTGTTTTCACAGTTATTAAATGCTCTTTTATATAGCATCCTAACTGTCATCAATATGTGATAAAATGGATAATTCTGAAAGTACTTACAGCATGAAAACTTATAGCACAATACTTTTCGGCTTTTCCTGAAATTTTACTCTGTCTGCGTTAATAATGGTACTTAATTGGGGTCTTACTTTAGAAACATGTTGCTCCTGTTTAAGTTGTAGGCCGGATGAATACTTAAGGGATATCTTGGAAATGTTATATAAAAATGATTAAACTCAAGCTGTGGACTGTAAAAAAATTATAGCTTTATAGGCCGCATGCCTGCCTTACCCTTCAATCACTGTCAAAGTGATAATTTCTACAATAATATGTTTCTTTTATTGTGAGATTCTAAACATCAAGTACTGTTTAAACATTAAACTGAATTGTTTATGTTAGTGCTGTACTCAGCGTGTCATACATCAGGCCACCGTAATCTCTCATGGAATGTAAAATTCTGTCATGAATCATGGCTTGCATATCGGAAATTACTGTAATTTTGATTGGAAATTACAGGGCTCTTGAAATGTTTCTAATTATGATAGAATGTTAGAACTGCTTCAAACCTGTGTGCGTCTTCAGATGTCTTCATTTACATGCCAAGACTACGCTTTAAGGAGAGATGTCCTGTCTCACTCTCCCCACACACCCCGCACACTCTTGTTTTGACTACTTAGTCTAATTATGATGAGGATCTTTTATTTAAATATATATTAGTTTGCCATTCTTTCTGATCCTACACCCTCCCCACCCCGCCCTGGCCTGTCCAATTACATAGTAGACTGCCTTCCTACAAAGTCCGGGCACTTTCTCCCAATCTCCAAAATGGATGACCTAGATACACGTTTTTATAATCAGGTCAGCCATGAAACAAAACAAATAAAAATTAATATTAAAGCTTTCATTTCGTATTGTTTAGCTGCCTGTCACCTGTCATTTAACTCCATCTGCCACTTCCACCCCTTCCGATTTCCTTTGTGATAAGTGCCTAGCTACCTGTGGCTTGACTGTGTCTTAAATGATTGCAGAGAGTCCCTGCGTTTGGAACCATGTTGGCGAATGGAGGTCTGCTTGGTGTCCGGTCTTTAAGCATCTTTTTCATTTTTACCTGCCCTTCTTTGAGCCTCACGATTACATTTCTGCAGTGTTGGTGAATATCTTCTAAGCGTCTCCCATCTGTCTGTGTCCCAAGAATACCCCAAACTTCTCCTCTTTCTATTAGTGGCTGAAGAAACCCCAAGGAGCCAGGAAGAGGCTGTAGGCCAAGCGGTCATGTGACTCTCATCCCCTTGAATGGCTATTCCCAATCACTAATGTATTCTGCTTCCTACAATATTTTTGTAGTTCTTTCTTGGTTATTTAGTTTAGATGTCATACCGCCTTCCTCTGAGTGAGAGTTCAGAGATTGTATGTGTTATGACAGGAAATCTGACCAACAAAGGTGTCACTGTATTTAGGTTTTATTCTTCTCCACTCGTGTTTCCCAAAGCAAACAGAAAAGCTTCAAAACTGACCTTTACACGGTCAAAATTTGTAACTTCTAAGAGTGATCCAGGGTTCCTCCAGGTGGGTTATGTATAAAATACAGTGTGTGCATATTAGCCTTTAGGTTACAGAGTGCTATACACAAATGGACAGCGTTTATAATGTGCTCAGTAAGAGACTCAGTCCTCTCCATGCAGAAGAATGATTTATTTATCATGCATTTATGTATTGGAATACCTTCCATTTTACAAGGAGAGCACGCTCTGCAGTGACTAATGCACCAAGTATTTTGTGTACAAGGAGCCTACCCATGTTGATTCTGCCTTTTATCCCGTACTGCATCATCTCATCTCCCTGATGAATAATAGAAATGCGATTGTTTTAACTCTGAAAGAAATGTCTAAATGAAAAATGCGGGTGAAGACCAGAGGTAGGCTGCTTTTGTGCTTGGTTAGAAAAGCCGGCGACTGCAAACTGAAAGCCGATGCTCCTTAAACATAATGCAAACAGCTACAAGAATATACTTTTTTATTTGGGACATTCAAATAGGCAGCCGTTTTTCCGGGTGAGTCAGATTGGAATTTTATCAAACATTTAGTCTGATAACATTCAAATTATTATGTGAGCAGGATTTGCTAATTTTACTGTTTAAAAAAAATAGTTGATTTGGGTAATAACCATTACCGTGTCAAGGCTCGGTTACCGTTCATTGGCTTCAGTGTTTTCATATGGGAGATGGGAGTGGAGTTTTTTCCTTAATAGTGGCAGATGTTAGAATCTAATTTTATTCCACAGAAACTCCCCGGAGGGCTCTGAGACTTCAGGTGTGTGTCCAGCAAGGGAACATTAACGGCACCATAGGCCTTGCCTTGTACATGTACTTTTTACATTGATTTTCTGTTTGTTGGATAGAGCCTGCAGACCCAGCTGCATGTCTCTGTACTCGTCAGGAAACGACTCTTACTCTGAGGGACAGGGTATTTCTAGATTTCTAGGTGCAGCAGGGAAGCTAGCACGGTTACATCTGACCGGACACATTTGTGCAGTGTGATTTTTTTTTTCAATCTCCGAAAAGCTAGGACTCTGGCTGCAGTGTGTTGGGCTCGATTAATAAGGAGAGTTTATTTTTACTTTTTAAACACACAAAAGAGAATTTTTACTTCAGAATATGGTGACATTTAGAATAGACCAGACAGTTTACAAACGTCTGTGTTTCCTCTATCAGTTTCAGACTTTCGTCTGTGAGATACAGGCGTGTGGTATGAGTGAGGGGGACTCGGGTCTTCAGGGCTCCTCGGCTTTAAAAAAAAAAGCCCAGCGTCACTCTGATTTGTAAGTTTGCTTAGTTGAGATGCTTTAAATAAAATCAAACTGTCACAAGTAAGTGGGGCTAGAACTAGACTAAAAAAATGTAGTGTGCAAAAGAATTTATAGTAACAACACCCAGAAATAAACCAGAGAACCTATGACACTGTACCCTGGCATGCTAGGGAAGGCACCTTTGCTTTTGTTCAAGCAGAGTTGTGCTGGGTAGGTGCTAGTTCATGCTTTTAGGATGTTCGTGTCACAGACTTTGCTGTGGCACGATTTCACCTGTGACGGCTCCTATTTTAGCACTCAGGAGGTCCCACAGACGTGTTAGTCACAGTTTCTCTTATCTCTGGTGCCACATCTTTTGGGAGCATCCTGTGAGGTCCCTGGCTTTGTCCTCAGAGCCCACCTTCTACATGTGCAGACAGAGGGCCCTTGATGGGGGCTATTCCTTCGCAAGCTGTACCTCATTCTTTCTAGCTGGGTAGAGCCGGACCCAGACTGTTGGCAGCTAGGTTTCTCAGGGTCTGCTTGCCTGCGGGAGGAAGGGCCTGAAGAGCCTTGATAAGAAGAGCAAAGGAGAAAGTTCAGAGCATACCTCATCCCTGCAGCTCCTGTCTCCTGCTAGGTCAAGTTCAGCACACACTTGACAAAACCCTGTACTAGATTTTTGAGTAGGAAGGAAGAGTTTGTTGATCTCCTCTTGAGGGTGTTGTTGGTAACAATTGCTGATAATGTCACGCGTGTTAGTGCTGGGAATCCATATTGTTACACTTTTCTGGAACATTGATCTATCTGTCCATTTCTAGTTGAATGCTAAGCCAGGCTATTGGAATCAATGGCTCTAAGTACTAGCCACCCTTGGCAGCGTGGCTATCCGTTAGTGCACGTCAGATGATGTTTTTCAGGACTAGTTAGATTTGTGGCTCTGAATAAGATTGGATTTCTGTGCTCTGAAACAAGAACGTTTTGGTAAGTCTAAGGTTTGATCTCCCAGGTCCAGCGTTATTAAGTAAACTGTGTACTTGCCCAGTTTTTGGCTACAAAGTTCCATAAAGGGATATTTTACCCCTTAAGTATTGTTCCTGCCTAAGTCAAGCGAAAGACCTTTGACTCTCTTGTTACTATTTTCAAATGATTTAAAAATCTCACATTTTAACATCTAAAGTTGATTGCATGAAAGTCAAAAATACATTTTTGTTTTTTGCAACCCGTTTATTAGGTTTAATGTGGCCACGCAGCAGTCATTCATCCCGTCATAAAGCTCGAGTACTGTTAGAATCTTCTCAGCCACAGGCCACCTTTCATCCTGAAATGGTAGCGAGAGCCACAGAGTGTTTCGGGGACCT